ATAAATAACATATTTAGTCCCTTAATTTTAATAAATAATATTTTAATCCATAGTATATATATTTTAATTTATTTTAATCTGATATTTGAATTTTATATAATTTTATTTTAGTCACTAAATTAATAAATAAGGAAAATAGCATGATTAATCCCTATAATTTTAAATAATTAGGATTAAGTATTTAATTTTAATTTTATTTAGTCACTAATTTTAAATATTTTCATTTATTTTACTGCTTTTAAATATATAATTGTATTTTTATTGTTTTAATTTTACTTGTTTATATATTTAAATATTTTTATTATTATTATGTAGTCATATAAATATATATATATAATAAATAATAATTTATATTTTTTCCATAAATTATTTTAATATTTATTTTTCAATATCGAAGAAAAGGGTAGTCTTAATACAACTGGATGTCCTATTTTGGTATTTTAAAATTAAATATTATAAAAAATTATAATTTAATTTTATTTAAATTATTATATTAATATTTATTAATATCGAAGAAAAGAGCTGTCTTAAGGCACCTAGAAGTCATTTTCTGATATTTCTAAATAAATAAACATTTTATTTATAAATATATATAAATTATTTTTTTCTCATAATTATAATTTTGAAATAATAGGATAATAAATTAAATATATTTTGAATTTTTAAATTTCTAATAATAGAGACAATTTATAATTAAAAAGTACCAATTTTGGGAGTTGTAGGGGTGCTAATCCTTCCCTAAACGTAACCGACCATGAATCCTTTTTATTATTAAAAAGAAAGAATTTTTGGTTATAAACGCAGATCAGTTCATCTTTTAAGTGATGTTTTCTTAAAAACTCTGTTAAAAGATAATTTTTAGGTATTCGACCTACCTGACCCAAAAGGCTGATGGCGACTCTCAAATTATTTTCAAAACCAATTATTCACAAAGGCATACATATTTTCTCCAATTTTTCACCAATAAGATGACACCACTTGTTATATCCGTCAGCATGTCATATCTGTCATACGGTGACTAAAATGAAAGCAAATTAAAAGTTCATCGACTTCAACGCCAATGACAGAAATACAAAAATCTTAAAAGTTTAGAGGCTACCAATGTAATTTGCCCTTAAAATTAATAATATAATAATAATAATCACATCGAGTACAGATTCTTTGGATAAACAAAAGTACAAAATAAACACATGCGTTGAACAATGATAGTCATAGTTAAGTCCGGAATCAAAAATTTTCAAAGTTGAATGCCCATGAAATCGAAAAAGGGTATTTGCACTTAGGCCGTAAACGAGCAGAGTCGAGTTTGATTATTATTGAGCTTGATTTGATTCGAAAATTTTGAAATAGAACTCGACTAAAAAACCCGCGAGTCTAAAATTTCCAAGCTCGACTCGAACTCAAAATCAAGAACTGAAGCTCGTAAAAGTTCGGAATGAAAAAAAAATCTTAAATTGAACACGATTGAAGTATCAAACTCGAACTCAAACTTGAACCTTAAATGCATTAAAACCTTATACTGTATTTTTGAAGAAAAGCCAATACATAAATATTAATATTATTAATAATTTATTTTTTCAAAATATAAAATCTTAATATATTATATTTTTGAGTCGAGTATCAGGTAACTTGTTTCAGCTCGTTAAGAACTCGAGTCGACATCGAAGCTCGAGTCGAGTATTTATCGAGCTTTGACTGAGTCGATCTCGAATAACTTGCGATCTGTCTCGTCTCATTTACAATCCTAGTTACAAAACACTATTACTTTAAAATCTCCCTTTGCCTCTAAATCCGCCACCACGGCCACCCCCTAGGACCACCCTCTGCCACTTCTTGGGGCACCCCTCCCACGAAATCCACCACCTCCACGGCCATCAAATCTATCGCACCTCTGCCTCCTCCGCGACTACCTCTTCCGCCGCCTTGTGCTGTCCCCTACAACATAGACAGAACACATGATATGATCACATGAATAAGGAGTATAACCAGAATTTGCAAATTAAATCAAATCATATAAGAAAGATGGCACAAGAGGTTGGTGCCATTTTTTGTCGGCCATGCCTTCGACCCAGTTTTCAGATATTTTCACCTAATATCCATCTCAAACCCAAACTTAACCGAGTTCCAACACCAAGAACAGACAGGAAATAGAGAACTCCCCCAACCAAGTTCTGGTCGTTCGTTACCTAAAGGCATTTTAGTTATTCTCAGTCTCTATAGAAGTCTCTACGCGTTCGTGATTTAACATCAATTTCTGAATTTACTGCTTACAGGCTGTAATACTAGCTATCTCGATACTTGGCTCGGGTCTATTAATAGGTAGCGACAATATGATTGCTCTTATCGTACTTCTCCCTCAATACCCCTTTAATTGGAGGGACGACTTATACGTTCTTTATTTAATGACGCTCTTGGAGCTCATGCTTTATGCTATTACTAAATCTGACATACTTATTGTACCGATTGTCGGCACGTCCCCTACAATGATCCTCATTCTTAACCATTCGAATACGTGCTCGAATGAAGATACTTCGACGGATTACACTTAGTATGATTACCTCGGTTGTAACCCACTCCTACAAGTGTTTTTAGGTATCTCTGGTCATTTATGTCTCCCATGAGCTAAGATCCACTATTTTGAATCACCCTTAGTTCTTACTGACCTTAAAAAGGTCAAATCTAACCTTCCAAGGTGAGTAGTATCGATATACTACTTGCAATATCGATATCCCTATGAGTATTGGTACAAAAAATACATTATGTTTATGGAAATGAGGCCTAGTATCGTTATTGTCACCTTAATTCAAGCTGGAAACCCCTAATTCGTGTCATGATTCATCTAGTATTGATACTGTTCATCCAGTATTGATACTTAAACCCAGAAACAACTTGTTTAGGCTCGAGAAACACCCAAAATTCATCCCAAATGACTTGATTTGGTTTTTAATCATGTTCTAAAGCTTTAGGATCTTAAGATAGCATAAAACACTTTCTTTACAAAATCTTTATATTTATGAAAGCCTTAACATTCTAAATGATTAGAAATACATTACATTGGTTAAAGAATCCTGAAATGAAACTCCTTGCTTGGGCACACTCACTTCCCTTAAGATTTGGTTGATTTTTCTCTCTTTTTCACTACCCAACAAAGATGCATGGATTTATCAACAAAAATGATTTTGTATAAAGTATTAAAGATGGATTTTGAAGCCTAAGGAAGTAAGGAAGAAACCCCAACACTTACCTTAGGTTAGGCACTTGCTATGGAGAAGGAGATGAAGAAGGAAGGAAAAAAAGGAAGAAGAGGAGTCCAAGTGGGAGAAGCCCACGCCCAAACTAGGTATAAAACCCAAAAAATCAACTTTGTTTTCCTTCAACGGTCTAATTGCACTTTTAGTTCCTCGATTTTGTCTCATGTTTAAAATTCCCTTTTATGGCTAAATGAGCCCAAATCCAACCAATTTAAGCCCAAACATGGCCTAACAACTTTAATTATAAACTCTACGAGATCCACATGCCTCTCGGGCAAATCTGAAACTATTAGCCCAAAATTTGGGGTGTTATATAAGTGTCACGTCAACAAAAACTAATAGAAGGAAATGACAAACTTTACTAAAAACGAACTAAAAATTCAATGATTGTATTGTAAATTTCAAAAGTTGATTAACCTAAATGTAAGCATCCTAAAAGTTCAGAGGTTATTTATATACTTTTCCCTAGATTTAATAACATCTATTTTCTTGTTTGATTGTTGTCTCTAATTATACAATGAAAGGATAGTTCTATAGTGCGGCACCTTAATATAAGGTTAAAATAAGGCGCAACCGGTTTTGTTATTGTTTAAATAATAAAACTGGTAAAAAATTATCGGTAATATTATTATTTTTACCTAAAACATCATTTTTTTATCATTTTCGGTAATTTTTTAGCGCCTAGTAATTTTTCCGATCATTTTTAGCACCTAATAATGTTTCCAATCATTTTTTTGAAAATACAATTAAAACGCCCAATAATAATAAAATCGATCATTTTTTAAAATCTAATAATATTCCGTCATTTTTTTACCGGTTTTGTTATTATTTCGATAGCACCTTTTTTTAGCTGTATATTAAAACTGATGCACGTGATCATTCCCCTTGTTAAATATGTCAGGCTCACCTCAAGTTCAAGGGAATCAATCAATTGAGAACGTTTACTTGATGCTTATCCGTTATACCACCGGTTTGATTTCTTTGAAGAACTTGTATCCTTCTTCATCCAAAAATCCATGTAAATTAGATATATTATGAAGATTATAAATTTTAGGGTAAAGTATACAAATGGTCACTGAACTTTTCAGATGCTTGCATTTAAGTCTCCCAACTTTTAAAACTTATAATACAGTCACCAAACATTTAGTTCGTTTGCAATATATTCCATGACGTAACGGCCGTTTCACTACCGTTAGGGTAAATAATATAAATGGTCACTGAACTTTTCAGGCGCTTGCATTTAGGTCTTCCCAACTTTTAAAACTTGCAACACAATCATCAATTACATTCTAAACCCCAAATTCTAAAATACTTCAATTACATTCTTAACCTCAAATTCCAAAATATTTCAATTACATACCCAACCCCAAATTCATAATCCATTCTCAAAATCTGCCATAACAAACTGAACTTGAAGCATCAACTTTAAACCCTCAAAACATAACCCTAAATGCTAAATTTCCCCACCAATTAACCCAACATAATCAACAACATTTAGTTCATTTTGGGTCCATAACAATAAGTGATTACGTTGGGTTTAGGATTTAAAAGTTAGATTTAACCAACTATAAGTGAACAATACTCAATTCAATTTGAAAAAATTATTTTTCGACTTGAATTGGTTAAATTTTTTTCGATACAAACTGACTCTGTATGATATATGTATATCACATATGGATTGTTCCTTTTTCATCCTGAAATCCGGATCGGTTTCTCCTGTCGCAATGCCTTATTTACTTTAATTTTTTGTTATACTGTTCTTTAGGTATGAATAAGATGGGTATTAATCATTTAGACAAGCTCTTTGTTACCAATGATGCCGCTACTATTGTCAATGAGCTTGAGGTTCAGCATCCGGCGGGCAAGATTTTAGTTTTAGCGGGTAAGGCTCGGCAAGAGGAAATTGGCGATGGGGCTAATTTGACAGTTTCGTTTGCCGGAGGGCTTCTCCAAAATGCCGAGGAGCTTATTCGGACTGGCTTGCATCCGAGTGAGATAATCAGTGGATATACTAAAGCAATTACCAAGGTTTAACCTTTGCTTTTCCAAATAATTTAAATGACCCGAGTATTGTTAATTATAATGATAAACTTGGTAATCACTGGGGATTCCGTTCTCATGTTTTAACATATGTAGGCAGCTGAGGTCTTGAAGGAACTTATGGAGAAAGGTTCCGAAAATATGGATGTTCGGGACAAAGAGCAAGTTGTTACTCGAATGAAAGCTGCTGTTGCTAGCAAACAATATGGACAGGAAGATATATTATCTTCCCTTATAGCCGATGTAATTTGCAGCTCGTTCCTCTTCTATATAACTAATCAATTACTCTATTATCTGTTACCTTTTGAAGGATGACATAATTACGTTTTCTTTAGTCATTTATTTCTATGTATTATTAGGTGTCAACACACATTTTTCGTCCTACTAGGATTCAAACTCCTAAAAATAGGATAGAATTTTAGGATTCAAACTCCTAAAAATAGGATAAAATTTTGCTAGGATTCAAACTCCTAAAAATAGGATAGAGTTCTACTATTATTTAAATTCCTAAAGATAGGATCCACAAGCACTATAAATAGCCATTGTAACTCACCATTGTAGGACACGATTTACACACAAAACATAGAGGAAAGCACGAGAAGATACAAAGGCAAAGCTATTGTAAACGATTCGAAAAATAAATAAAAGGTAGTATCTTTTTTACTTTTGATTTGGTCTCTTACATTTACGTTTTAATTATTATTATTTTATTTATTTAAATTTATTTATAAGCACATTTCCCTTGTTACTCATTTTATTTAATTGTTTTGTTATTTTTCTTTTCTTTTTTTTCATGTAATATTTTTTTACATTTTATGTATTTTCTTTTTTACTTTAGTATATATTTTTATTTTTTTAGATTATATATAAATATATTATTTTTTATTATCAGTTTTATTAATTATATATATATATTTTTTTTTTATTTTTATATATATATTTTTTACTTTTTTATTATTATTTTATTTATTTGTTTTATTTCTATATTTTTTTCTTCTTTTTCTTTATTTTTTATATTTATTTTACTTACTATTTTATCTTTGTTTTCTTTATCTTATCTTTTATTTAATTTGTTTTCTCTTTATTTTAATTTAATTAATTTATTTATTTCTTACTTTTTTATCTATTACCTTTTTATCTAACATGGTTTTTTGACCTTCTTAAGGCCACACCTTTAAAACTATCTAAGGTAAGTAATTGTGATCGTATTTTTACCTTTTAATTTTAAATTACAATTTTCTTAATTTAAGACAACCGGCAAATTACGTAGTACCGAAAGGGCGGTTCAAGGGTGCTAATCCTTCCTTGACCGTAATTGACTCCCGAATCCGACATATCTTTGGTAAGACGCAGATCAGGTAAGATATAAGGTATCCGATTAACTTATTTATTTTTTAAATAAATAATCGGTGGCGACTCCAATCACATTTTTCAAGTCGAAGCCCAATTCCGGGGCCCAACCGAAAGACGGTTACGACAGCTTGGCGACTCTGCTGGGGACCGTAAGTGAGTCAGGCTAAGGTAATTTCCAGTTGTCTTTTTTATGAAAAGGGTAAGTTTAAATTTTAAGGTAACATTTCGATCCTTATTGCTTACTTTTGATTATATTTTCGAAGTAAATAGTTGTACTGACCATTTTTTAATGATTTCAGCCCTTAAAGATTTTTCATCTAAAGGCTCTATACCCGAGCTCCGAACCCTATTTAAGTGGGGGTGAAAGCGACGCCTTCGTGTGAATTTATTCTCCATATGGGCCTAGCAAGTAACCTTCGGGATTCATATACCTTATGCCTTCGTGTGAATTTATTCTCCGTATGGGCATAAGGGAATGTTTCCTCTCGAGTTTAACTTAGTCCACACAAGCCTGTGATGGGTTTAGGACTAAGGGTCTAGCAAGCCCAAGGGGGCACCAGCAAGGAGAACTCGGGTACCATTTTTTAGCACCTAAACCGGGAGACCATGGAGAATTAGAGCCCACCCCAAAATCTCATTCCAAACCCTAGGCTGCTTTGTTTCCTGCTTTAGTTTCTGTTCAAAGCATGCGAACTAGACAAATATGCGGTTAGGATTTGTTTGAAAGTAGCATGCGGGATAGAGATCATGTCCGGGTAGGAATAATAAGCATGTGGGGTAGATATCATGTGGGGTAGGACTTTCATTTTTATGATCGTTTTTTATTTTTTTTCACCTCACTAACTCTTTTCATCTTTCTTTTATTTTATTTTCATCACTTGCATCATAAAAGAGGTCATTGATCCACTAAAACGTGTTTGTTAAAACTCGAATAATCTGAATCCATGGACAAAGGTGTTGTAATACAAGAGATTAAAAACCCCGAGGTACGACTATGGTCCGAGAAGACTCAGAAGGAAAAGGGAGACAGTCTTCAAGGAAGCTATGTGTCAGTGCTGGTTAGCTACGCCTCTATCAACCTAAAACAGAATAATGTGCAAGAACTTCGAGACATCTGAGATAGTTGGAAGAATGATCAGAAATAGAAGTTCAGTCAGCGGTATGGTGACATTGCATTTTTGCTTCATGTTAAGATCGATGAGCCCTTAATCAGAGTCTTGGTTCAATTTTTGAACTTGGGATACAATTGCTTCACTTTTAACCAGGAGGACATGGTACCTACCATCGAGGAGTATACTACACTATTGCACTGTGAAAGCATTAAACTGGAGCGAGCCTACATCAAACACATCAAGAGTCAGCCTTTCAAGAACGGACTGGCTAAGATTGCAGGAGTTGATGAAAAATGGGTGACTGACCGACTCCGAAACAAAGGTAACGGGCAAGGAATTGAGTTGATCCACATAAGGGAACTAATGAAGGACCACCGTGATGAATGGAAGACTATAGACCTTTTTGCACTAGGTCTGGATGGCTTGATCATCTTTCCAAAGGTTTTGGGATGCATTGACGCAACCGTGGTGGAACTGTTTGAGCAACTTCCGAAACGAGTCAACCCAGCACCGACCATCTCAGCCGAGACCTTTTGGTCTCTCAACCATTACCGAAGAGCTGGTGGAGGTAGATTCATTGGATGTGTTCAGTTCCTTCAAGTCTGGATTCACATCCACTTCTGAAAGACTAATGGGGTTGCCTACTGTAGATTTATCACTACGTATTCACCTTTGAGAGAGTTCATCACCATGACATGACATGAAGGCGCTTCAAAAGAGAAATGGATGAAAGTCTTCACTCATCTTCAGGACCGGGATATTACCTGGAGAGCCCCCTGGTTGTTCCTCAGTGATGTTCTTTTCAAGTGTGGGAATTCTGACACTATGACCCTATTTGGACTTTGAGGTGCAGTTGGGTATGCTCTGTTGTTGGCACTTAGACAGTATGGGGTACATCAGTTTGTCCCAACAACATATGGATTATCTATATCAGAGTTTATGTATCACGGTGACAGTTATAATAAGATGATCAAAGAAGCAGTCGAGTCATGGAAGAAAGTATCTCGGATGGATGTCTAGAAGATTTAGTCCGAACATACCTTTTATTGTTTTTATATCTCTTACAAGATAAAACATTTTTGTCTGAATAAGGATTATTTATAATAATGGACACTTTTCTGGATCAATGCCTCGAACATTTCGTGCATTCTTGCATTTTGCATTTTTGCATTTTCATCTACATTTTAAGCATTTTCACAAACATGAAATTAAGTCGTGAAGGACTCGATGAAGCGAATTTAACCACATGGAAGCAAGATTGTAACATTAAAGAGCCTAATCAGCTGATGATAGGACAAAGCCGGCTAGGATGATCTAAGAAAAGAATCCTCATATCCTAAGGACTACAATGTTGAAGCTGTTAACTGTTACCACATAAGAAGCTCCAAACATTCCTCTAAGAACTATAAGGCGCTGAAGCGCAAGATCCAAAACCTGATGGATTCAGGGGCAATGACAGCCGAAGAAGGGGGCATGGCATATACCATTTGCACTTAGAGGATTGTTTTGTTTGAACACGTCACTGATATTTCATGTTTGCTTAATCTTTTAAACGATTGAATTTATGCTACTTTCTAAGGTGGAGCAATTGAACAAATTTTAATCTTTAGTTCTTCGAATATTAAATGAATTAAGGATTCTTTTAATTCTTCAAGAATTATAGATTTTTGACATATGACAAGATTAGACCTTTCTTATCCTGTCTCAAACCCCCAAAATGAAATACCTTGATCAAAAAGACCAAATTTTGACATTACCTCCCTTTGAAATTCTTGAACATTGCCTTTACCTTTATGATACACCCATACCTTTCTTTGAGTCAATAAGATCACACCACTGTCTTTTTAGACTCAAAGTTAACCTTTTTTTACCATTAAAACCCAAGGCATTGAGTTGTTCATTTGAACATGAGCATTCTTCCAAGATACAATTTGGGGCATCTCGCCGGGAGCCTGAACATTGAGACATGATGGGAGCAAGGAGCAGAAAAAACAATTCATTTGAAATAATTCTATCATGCATTAATTGCACTGTTTTCATGTGAATAGAATTAATCCCGAAAATCTATCCCCCTGGGGATACCTCTTTTGTGAAGACTTACATGTATGAAATGATGAACGGCTTTCTTTCTTTATCCCTTCACAACAGGAGAAAATATATATCCCTTGCGTCCCTTTTTGAGCCTATAGTATTTTTTCTTCTGATTCAACCCTAACCAAGGATCACCCTCCACACTGGGGGGCAAGGTGGAGAAAATCTGCTCACATGAGTGAAGACATTGATTCAGATGAGATACCGAAAGGTGAACCAAATGCCAAGTGCGATGATTCAATCAGAACAAAAAAGGCAAAAAGAAAAAAAGAAAAAAGAAAAGAAGCAAAAAAGGAAAAAACAAGAACAAAAAAGAAAGAACAAAATTAAAAAAAAGGGACAAAAAGCACATGCAAAATTCCCTAAAGACAAATGGTGCATCAAGCTTCAATGAGATTGATCAAGCACAATCATTCCCGAATCACTGAATCCCTTCACTCAAAGATCATAGAGCATCAAGAGAAAGAGACATTTTGAGCAAGACAAGATTGATGGCATCAGAATGAATTGATCCTTGGTTCAATACCCTGAAACACTTATTTGGGCCTATTTATCCTTTTCTTTCATAACCACGAACCCTGGCCTACATTACGTGCCTTAAAAGTCCCTTCTAATCATACATAGATTTCTAAACAGAAGAGACTATCTTCAGATTTCATCCCGCCCATCAGGATTAATCTTTGTTTGCAAAAAAACAATGTAATTAATGTATGGTAGAGAAAAATAACAAAGGGGAGTTCAAGACATAAATCCTGAATAACGTCTTGAAACCAAAGGAGGATTCGAGTTGAAAACCTGAAAAGGCGGCTCGAATATAAAAATTGTGCAACTGAGGCGATCACACAAATTCCTTGATAAGGCATCGCACAATCCGAGTGTGACAACGAAGGTTGGGAGTCAGAGAACACTTCCAGTAGAGAAGCATGCAAGCTACCCCATCAATCTTTTGAGCATCAAATACCAAACCTTTGAGCATCAAATGCCAAACCTTTGACCAAACACAATGACCTGAGACTTTTTATCCTTTCCTTACTTGACCATCTCTCAAAGATAGCTTTGATCTTGACACTTGTCAAATAGCTATAATTTATTGAAGGATTAACATTGTAATTAATTCTTTGATATCCAATGAACTCTAGTTTTATGATTCGTCTCAATTGTAAAACTGTGAAAGGGGCAATATTTTTAAAACTTGGGATTAAACATTTTTTGAAACTCTTTTAATTGATATTAAAAGAGAAAGAAAAACATTTTTTTCAAACAAGACAGTCTCTCTAGAGTGGATCTTGGTAAATGACATGTGACTCTTAGACACAAAACTCATGCTCAGAATCAATGCTGAAGCAAGAAATGAGGAACATTTGGGGCATCTTTGAAGATTCAACATGAAATATTGGGGCATTTTTTTAGGCATCTTTGGGGATTCAACATCTTAATGAGAATTATCATGCCTTTTTCAAGAGATAAAATATAACCAATTCATGTTACATGCATCTTATACATACATTTTAGAGCGTCATATCTATCATTTTCTTTCCACGTACATAATTTTTACAGCTTTAGAGTCAAGTTCGACTTCAAGACGAAGGATACTCGATTCAAAAGCACCTTTACAGATTGATGTCGGTTGCTTAGCTCAGCAGCAAGAAACTACACTTCAACCAACTCGACAGACAGAAAGATCGATATTCATTTTCAGATTCGACATTTCCAATATAAATTCTGTCTCAGTCTCATTTAATGCAGATGATTATCTCACTTGAGATTGCTTTTTTAAAACAGACTTTGTCTCACTTGGGACTGTTTTACTCGAAAGAAGATTTATTTCACTCATGATTGTTTTTCTTAAAACAAGATTTGTCTCACTTGAGACCGTTTTCACTAGAAGAGTTTTGTCTCTCTTGAGACAGTTTCCCTTGAAAATAATTTTGTCTCTCTTGAGACAGTTTCTCTTGAAACAAATTTCGTCTATCTTGAGACAGTTTCCCTTGAAATAAATTTTGTCTCTCTTGAGACAGTTTCCCTTGAAACAAAATATTTTAATATGTTTTCTTTGAAACAAATTTCGTCTCCCTTGAGACAGTTTCTTTTGGAACTAAGTTTTGTCTCTCTTGAGACAGTTTCTCTTGAAACAATTTTCGTCTATCTTGAGACAGTTTCCCTTGAAACAAAACCTTTGAATTTATTTCCCCTAAAACAAATTTTATCTCCCTTGAGACAGTTACTCTTGAAACACAAAATCTTCAAATTTATTTCCCTTAAAACATAATTTTGTTTCCCTTGAGACCGTTTCTCATGAAACAACAGATATCTTTGAGATTGTTTCCCTTGAAACAAATTCTATCTCTTTCAAGACAACTTCTTTTGAAGCATCATCTGAATCGTTACACTCAGCTCAGGCACATACTTGAGATGGTCGAGAATCATTTCTCAAATCAAAAATAGAATGTGCACATCAGATTTGAACATTTGAAGAATTCAAGATCAGGGATCAAAATTTGAAGATTCAAGAATCAAGATTCCAGACAGGCAACTGGAGATCGAGATTTTCTCCAGAGCCCCAAGATAACATATGTTGCATATGCATTTAGGCACACCTAAGAGCATTGCATCCATAGCATCACATATATGCATAACTTTTTCAGGTTTTAGCTAGAGTCAATTTCAACTTCGCGGCGAAGGATATTGAACTCAAAGCGACACGATTTGCTCGAGAGTGGATTTCAACTTCACGACGAAGGATATCTAGCTCGAAGCCAAACTTTATAATAAAGGGGTCTCCACGGTTTCAACTTCACGGCGAAGGGAATTGTGTCCACCCGCAACATACAATACTTGGATTTCAACTTCACGACGAAGGATATTCAAGTCAAGGCTCAACTTCACAACGAAGGGGCCATCTGCGATTTCAACTCCACGAAGGAGGATATCGTGGCACTCGAGGCAACACAAGTTCAACTTCACAACGAAGGGACGGCTGGTTGTCAACAACAACTTCTCAATTTCAGAGCCTATTTCAACTTCACAACAAAGGATATTGGACTTCAGACAACGCAAGTTCAACTTCACGACGAAGGGACCGCTTCTTGTCAACAACAACTTCCCAATCTCAGAGCCAATTTCAACTTCACAACGAAGGATATTGGACTCCAGACAATGCAAGTTCAACTTCACGACGAAGGGACCGCTGCTTGTCAACAACAACTTCCCAATCTCAGAGCCAATTTCAACTTCACGACGAAGGATATTGGACTCGAGACAACACAAGTTCGACTTCACAACGAAGGGACGGCTGGTTGTCAACAAACAATTTTCCGGTTCTAGAGCCAATTTCAACTTCACGACGGAGGATATTGGACTTGGAACAATGCTACTTACTTGGATTTCAACTTCACGACGAAGGATATCCAACTCAAAAAAGGATTATTTGCCATCAAAATTGTCGAGTTCGACTCCATTCAGCTCGATGACACATCAACCGCACTACTTTCCGGTTGCAGTCGAGGTTTTCAAGTCGAGGAGAGGACCTGGGTTAGCCGTGCCTTAGTGACAAGCAAACATTTTCAAACAGCATAGCTTAAGTCAAGAAAAAGCTATATGTCAATGAAGATTCTCAGTTCTATTCCGATCCAAGGTCTTTAAACCGAGAAGAAGACCGAAGGGTAACGGGAAGCCATGTGCCGATTCAAATTCCGAACTACGGCTTTAATTTCATATCATTTCAAGATGAACTCGACTTCACGATGGAGGAGTCATCCGTAACTCAATTCGACAGGGAGTAATTGAAACATCAGAGTTAATTTTCAACTCCACTGAACGAAAAGTGTGTCTTTTAATCTTTGCCCTATCCCCGTTACACGACTATGGGCAAAGAGGGGCAGCTGTCAACACACATTTTTCGTCCTACTAGGATTCAAACTCCTAAAAATAGGATAGAATTTTAGGATTCAAACTCCTAAAAATAGGATAAAATTTTGCTAGGATTCAAACTCCTAAAAATAGGATAGAGTTCTACTATTATTTAAATTTATAAAGATAGGATCCACAAGCACTATAAATAGCCATTGTAACTCACCATTGTAGGACACGATTTACACACAAACATAGAGGAAAGCACAAGAAGATACAAAGGCAAAGCTATTGTAAACGATTCGAAAAATAAATAAAAGGTAGTATCTTTTTTACTTTTGATTTGGTCTCTTACATTTACGTTTTAATTATTATTATTTTATTTATTTAACTTTATTTATAAGCATATTTCCCTTGTTACTCATTTTATTTAATTGTTTTGTTATTTTTCTTTTCTTTTTTTTCATGTAATATTTTTTTACATTTTATGTATTTTCTTTTTTACTTTAGTATATATTTTTATTTTTTTTAGATTATATATAATATATTATTTTTTATTATCAGTTTTATTAATTTATATATATATATTTACTTTTTTTATTTTTTATTTTATATATATTATTTTTACTTTTTATTATTATTTTATTTATTTGTTTTATTTCTATATTTATTTCTTCTTTTTCTTTATTTTTTATATTTATTTTACTTACTATTTTATCTTTGTTTTCTTTATCTTATCTTTTATTTAATTTGTTTCTCTTTATTTTAATTTAATTAATTTATTTATTTCTTACTTTTTTATCTATTACCTTTTTATCTAACATGGTTTTTTGACCTTCTTAAGGCCACACCTTTAAAACTATCTAAGGTAAGTAATTGTGATCGTATTTTTACCTTTTAATTTTAAATTACAATTTTCTTAATTTAAGACAACCGGCAAATTACGTAGTACCGAAAGGGCGGTTCAAGGGTGCTAATCCTTCCTTGACCGTAATCGACTCCCGAATCCGACATATCTTTGGTAAGACGCAGATCAGGTAAGATATAAGGTATCCGATTAACCTATTTATTTTTTAAATAAATAATCGGTGGCGCTCCAATCACATTTTTCAAGTCGAAGCCCAATTCCGGGGTCCAACCGAAAGACGGTTACGACATTAGGCATGCATCCAAGTCTGTCCCAAGAACCCTGCTAACTTTGATGTTGATAATGTCCGTGTCATAAAGCTTGTTGGAGGAGGTTTGCATAATTGTCTGGTAATTCGGGGAATGGTTTTAAAAGGTGATGCTGTGGGAAGTGTAAAACCTTTTTGGTCAGGCAATGTGCAGGGACATTTGTATAGTACCTGGGGCTGCAGCTACCGAAATCGAGTTGGCAAGAAGACTGAAGGAGTTCTCGTTCAAGGAAACAGGGTAATCTATTTTTTTAACCCGTCTGCTCTTGCCTGTTGCAAAGTGCCATTCTTCATGCAATATTTCATCTTTGACCTGCATGGTATGGTGTGCATGAATGACATGAAAATATTTGTGGCTTCATGGCATTCTTCCTCTGAACCGCTGTCTTCAGACATGGTGCTGACAATGTGTCATTTAAAGCAGCTTCTGCATTGTTTTAACTTGTTTATATCTTGCATTTTTCACGTGCATTTTGATAGCTCTGCCGGAAATCTCCTTCGAGTTTTGAAATTTATTGTAGATTGAGGTACATGCTAGAAGAAGCTGTTAATATTATCGAACATTTTTCAGATTGGATCAGCACTTATGTTCGATACGAATAGCATCGATTTCGATCGGATGTTGGTTTGAAAATATATGAAGGTACTATAATCTGAATTTATCAAATTGGTGCATTCAAATGGCAACCTTCCTATTATGTTGGGACAACATTGAAGCTTTCGTCCTGAACTTCAGTCCACAACGCAGTGAGAACTGCAACTAAAACCAAAAACAGGGCGAAGGCCATTTTATAAGCTGTTTTCTTACAGCCTTTTCCACTGTGAAACTCCTGTGTTTCAGTCGGAGGAACAGCCTCACGAGACCTTCGGACATCAGCAATATCAGCCAGATTGTCGTCGGTTGATGACATGGATTCCGAAACTCTGTGAAATTTCTCACCATCAGTGTGCATATGTCCTTTCCCTTTGATTTCGTAAACCATGTTGTGATAAGAATGGCTCCGGACTGTGGTTGGACTCCGTCCGGAATACTCTGAGTGGGGACTCATGAGCCTGTGGGTTAGTTTCTCAGCGTAATCCGAGTTAGGATCTTGAAGGGAGTGAAGAAGCTTCCTCGGAGTCGTAAAGAGGTTCTCCACGTTAATCCTAGAAATCAACCTCTGAAGCATGAACAAGGCAAATGCGGTTTATAGATCGATAAGAGAACGAAAAAAACAAATCAATGAGAGCCGGATTGAAGTGAACGATTTCGAGTATTTTACCGTTGGACTTCGAGTGGCACTTCTATTCGATAGCCCTGCAAATTCATTGATGTAATCTGATCTGTTATTGCTAATCGGTTCATGATGATCAGAAACCGAATGATTCAACGCAGATAACAAACCATCATCAACAGATACATCACCATCTCCTTTTTCATATGTCCAAAGCTGTCGATTCACACTCTTTTGATCATATTCTGTTGTGCAAGAAATTTGAGTCGATGAAATTGGTGAATCGAGCAAAGAATCATATTCCATAGAGGGATCGAGTGTCCTCGATTCCGGTGAAGAAGTTGCCTGGGATCTATCTCCGGTAACGACTGAGTTCTTTCTACGACCGTGATCCCTCTGGCCAGAATTCGACCCTTCAGCTATCTTCTTTGCAGTTTGCAAAGCCTCATACGCAGCCCCCTTAACATAGGCCATTGGATCGGATTGACACTTCTCCATCTCTTCCACAATCGATTCCACCTCGGAAAACAAGCTCCACGGATCCAAGTTTTTCATTAAGAAATTTATCATCTGTATAGCCGAAAATCGTTTCTGAGAATTACCTTCGGTAATGCCTGCATTCGATATCCTCAACCCGGATTTGATCAACAATCTAGCATATGCTTCAACAATTAGAGCATTGCACTTTGCTAAAGCCATAACCAGCCCCATATGTGCATTCATCTGAGACGACTTCTCCTCCAAGGCCCCGGTGACGCTTTGGCAGACTTTGTTCACCATCTCATCTGATGCAAACCTCCAGTTATCCGATTCAACGAGCGCCTTCAAGCAAAGTGCGGCCCCGGAACTCAAGCTTTCTTGGGAGCTCAAAACGGATTCTGAAAGAGGGTTACAAAGCGAGTCGATTATATGCCTCTTCTCATCTTCTGGACTCGATGGATCGATCCCGTATTTCGCAATTGCAGGCACAACCTTCGAACACGCCTGTTGAAGAGGAAAGGACCCTGCACTCGAAGCCAACGTTTTAACGATAGTCGACATGATACTACCGATCTGAGGTACAATCTTCACGCCGTGCACTCGAGCAAGAACCTCGTAGAGCGAGATCGTGTATTCGCCGGACACGGATCCGGTTTCTTTGGTCTCGGAAACTTTAGCAAGAAACACAGGTATTGCTTTCGAATCCAAGTCTTTCACATATGATTTCAGTGCTTTCATTGCCGATTTCCGACTGTGGGCATCTTTGTCGAGATTGGCCAACTCTTGCCGCAGTATCGGACTAAGATTACGACCCATCGTTCACCTGAAAACACAGCTACCGTTAACGCCATGATTTAAGAAATTAAACTACTACATTTCTCAGATTCAAATCATAAAATAAAAAGATTAAAAATTATGAAATTTAAGGAAAAATCAGAAAACAATAACAGAAATTTAGAAAATTAGAACAAAAAATGAAATCAAAATTTAGAAAACGATGAACAAGGAGCTGCAAAGTTAGCTCTGTTTTCAAATGATATCAAACAATTAAAAAGAAAAATGAAAAATACCCTAATCTTACTTTTGATTTATTTTTCCTCAGTCTTCTTCTTCAATTGGTAAAGCACTTATCTTTCCAAGCATAAACAAATATGATTTTTTTTTGGAGAGTTACCCTAATCTTGGAACTACTAAGAACAGAGCCAGGAATTAGGGTTTTTCTTAATGAATTTGGTTCGGTAGATGCGTGAAACTTTCAGGATTTAAGGGTTTCTGCATTAATTATATTTTAGGAATTCATTGAATATATATTTTTATATTTAATAGCTTTGGATTTCGCTTTTTACGTTGCAATTCAAATATTTTTCCCTCCACCTGTGTTTCCCTTTTTGTTCCTTTGACGAATATGCCTACTTTGGACAGATATACTGGGATAAATCAACTTTTAGTCCCTAGATTGGATAATATTTTCTAACTTGGTCCTTGAATTGTCTTTGTTCATACTAATCCTGAATTTTAGATTTTTAGTCATTTTAAGATGCGACGAGTGTGTTATGTGAAATAATCTTGGGTAAACTATGCACTTAGTACCTAAACTATCAGTTTTGATTTGGTTTAGTACCAAAAGTTTCAATTTTTTCAAAAACATACTTAATGTGTAGTTTTTGTTTCATTTTGGTACTCATCTGTTAAAAATTTAACGTGTTTAGTACTTACATTATTAGTTTTGGCCCGTTGTAGTACTTAAACTTTCAATTTTTTTCAAAAATTAACGTTAAATTTTGAACGGTGCAATCAAATGAAACAAAAACTAAACTTAGGTAGTTTTGAAAAAAAATAAAAGTTTAGGTACTAAAACGGACCAAAACTAATAGTTTTAGTACTAAACACGTAATTTACCCTATCTTTAAGTGCCATTTTAGTTAAAAAAATAAAAATTTAAAAATATTAAGTTAAGAAATTAATGTGAACATAATTTTTTTGAATTAATCACATGTATCTGATCTATTGGTCGATTAATCTATATCGGGTACTGCAGAGGCATTGGCTACCTTTCCAACCCAATTTGTTTCATTCACAAACGTCAGAGTTTGAATCCCTCACCTAAATTTAATAAAGGATAAAGTTTAAAATAATCATTTTAGACAACTTGTAAAAAATATATAAAATAAACATTAATTTTTTTTTCGATACAAAATAAGCATCGTGCCACTAATTAGAATGACTTAATTTATTGATTATGTCGACTCTAAAATTTTACTCGTATCTATTTATATAAAAATTTTATGTTATTATATATTTATGTATGTTCACCTTCAAAAAATAATTTTGAATCCATCATTGTCGATGAAGCTCGACTGTGCTCGTAATTGTGATAATGTGATATAAATCCACAAAAATGATCATATCCTTTTCAACAAGAGTCATCACAAGAACATTTAGCATTAACAAAGTGGAGTTGGATTATGTTTTTTCAGTGTTGTGATTGGATCGAGTTTGAATTTAGAATGAAAAAACCATATTTAATTTAACCTATTATAATATTATAATTATTTTTTTTACATATTTAAAGAATGGGTTTTGAACAACTCAATAGTTTCCTCATAACACTGATTTCTCAAATACCCACTAAGCATTGAATTACAAAGGATGGGTTTTGGTTGAGGAATTTTATCAAACACTTTCCTGGTAATCCCCAAACAACCCAATTCACTATAAATTTTAACCAAATTAGACGCCAAAAAATGGTGTTTAGATGCAGAATTTGTGATGATCTGAGCATGAATAGATTTGACACACAAAAGGGTATTTGGGGATTCATGTAAAAGCGACAAGAATCTCTGAATATCGGGAGGGAGATGATCAAATTTGGCATTTTTTATACTTGAAAAAGAGTGTAAAAACAGGAACTTGAAGGGTAATTTGTGAAGAAATTTATGGGTGTAAAGATTTGGGGAAGACATTAAGTAGATGAAGAGAAAGGGGAGTTTGTGATTTAAGTGTTCTGTCTCTAAAACAAAAGCCATAGGCTACTCTGTGTTCTTAGCTTAAACACGCGGGAATTTCATACTATGGTTAATTAAAATTGAATATTGTTGATGAATTTTATTATATATTTTCTTCGATTTGTTACTACCGCATATTTTACATGATCGGTTGGATTTTTTTATAAGTTTCAAGTTCGAGTACATCATCTATATAAACATTTATTATCAATTGGTCAAAGGTATGAACAAATACTATCCCCATCCGATAAGGATAGAGAGAAAAAATCAAAAGATTTTACATGATATATAAATATTAAGATAAACTACATGTTTATTATTCAAACTATCCGTTCTGATTCGTTTTAGTACTTAAATTTTAAATTTTTTAAAACCATAATATATAATTTATGTTTCATTTTAGTACACGTTAAAAACTTAACGAACAAGCGACGAGGCATAACTCCGGTGGACGACGACCAACCCAAACGATAAACCACGAGAGAATTACAAGTCGACCAACACAATAGTTTCAAGCCCATCGATTTGGAGAGATTGAGACATTGTCTGATGAACCGAAGGTTGTAATCACATTCAAGGAGTCAAAAAGGTGCTGACTGAAAGTTTGGACTTTATTGACCAACGAATGTGACGGCCAACAACTCTAGACACGACGAATGACTAGCCCGTCGTCATGCTTTTAATAATAGGATACTAAAATGAAATAAAAACTAAACGTTAAGTATGATTTTGAAAAAATTAAAAATTTTAATACTAAAATGGACCAAAACGGGTAGTTAAAGTATAAACGCGTAATTTACCCGAAATATTAATCTGATTTAAATAAAATTTTACCAGTAAACATAATAAGACACTTCGTAGACCTCTCCCAAAATTTCGATAATCTCAAAAAAGTTTTAGAATAGATACTTTAGAGAATATAATAAATATTACCTAATAAGAGTGCTATAGAACAGCAGAACCGAAACATATCATTATCCATTAATATATGTAACCTTCTTTCGATATAAAACATTAAAAGGACTCATAAGCACCATTAGCATACCGAAAATTCACAGCTTAATTCCTTCTACCTTTGTTCTTCCGGGACGAGACTACAGCCCAACCGTCTTCGGAACCAGCTGAATGGTTCGGTTTCGGCTCATCCGTCGGCTTACCGACCGGATTCGAACTTGATTGAGAATTTGGTACACCCACCATCATGTTTGCTGCACTGTCCCCGCTCATGCTACCATCTTCGTCGTCATCGTCATCATCCTCATCTTCGTCGTTACTCTAGGATAAACAAAAAAAAAACATATCCATGAAGGAAGATGCATGATTTCAACCACAATAAAACTTCATATACTAAATTAACTCGGTAATCTTTTTAATGGTAAGAGCAGACCATGGGAAAAATAGTTCGAGAAAATCGGAGGCGAAACCTTTTTAATAGTTCTAACACCCGAATAATAACTTGTCAACATAGAGAACAAAAACTAAATAAAGGATAAATAGAAGCAAACTTCAACAAATAGAGTAGTAGTTTAACACAGAACATTAATAGGAATAAAGGGTTTAAAGTTTAAACTAGAAAAATACCGGTTGGACATGTGCAGCAGGTGGAGGATTCGTTGTCCTCAGCTTTTCAACAGACTGATAATTTCCTTCCAAACATTCTTCATGCATAATCATCAACTTCTCGGCCACCTGTCACAAGTCGAAGGAATCGAATTATCTTTCATGCACTCTAATAAAAGCTGCTGAGTTACACGAACTTGTGATACATTACACAGTTCCCAACATCAATTTTAAGTGTCCAATAAGTGTCGGACATGGTTCGGATAGGTAAATGGCAATTAGAATACGCACGTTGAATAAAAGAAAGTATATATTCCGGCGAAGTACCATGAAGAACAGTTCATAATGTTGTTAAACATAATTTGAACAAAGAATTTGAACCTAAAATGTCATTTTTTCAAATATAACAAACCACCCCTCGTAATACACTCTGTAAACTACATTAAGAGAAACAAAAGGAACATCCAATACTTAATGCATTCAAAAACGAATATATAGCAATGAGTTAAACTGAAAGAAACATCCAACAAAAGAATCATGATGACTCAATTCGAATAAAAATGTAACTAAGGAAAAAGTTTGATCATTTGAATAAAAGATTGTATGTATCCCGATGAAGAACCGGAAAGGGCGATTCAAAATGTTGTTAAACTTAATTTGAACAAAGAATTTGACCCTAAAATGTTGATCCTTTTAAAAAAACAAGAGGATCATCTATACTACACACATTCAGAAACTAATATATCACAATGAGCTAAAGTAAAAGCAACATGGAATGACAAAATTACGACATATCCGAATCGATTAAAACAAACATCTAAGGAAAAATTTTGATAATTTTGATGATATCCATAGCATCAAATCAGCTCAAAGAGAGATTGAAATGAAATTAATATCCTAAATTGAAGCCAAGCCAAGGCAAAGACTGACGATTAAAGATACCTCCTCAATGCTGCCATCTTCAACCAATGTATTGAGACTAAGCAAGCCTTCCTCTAAAATATTTTCCAAATCATCTATGTAAAGCGGCTCCGCTGAGATATTTATACAAAAAATAAATAAAATAAAATTCAATGGCTCAAATTGCAAAACAGGAAAGAAATTATCGATTCTAATACACACACGTATATATAAAGAAGCGTTACCTCTTGATGCAGTGAAAAACGAGACGACGTCGGTGCAGATGGCGTTGGCTTTGCCGCTGGAATCACGGCCGCCCCACTCGTTTTCAACGGCGGCGGATAGAGCCGACCACCGAGTGAGGATCAAGCTTATTCCTTCTTGGAATACCGGAGCTGATGCCGCCGTTAGTCTCTTCGGTTCCATTGATTCCTGTATCGTTCTTTTCTCTTCCTCCGTTAGCTGAAAAACCCTACACGAGTTTTGGAAGTGATTGAGGATGGGCTTGTTTGGGTTTGAGAATAAATATATTCGGGTCATGAATAGAGGTCTAGTTTGAATATAAATGGGCCGGACTTGGTTCATAAAGATGGTTATTTTAGTTGGATTTTAATTGGGCTTTCGAGGGGAGAGATTCAACGGTCAACGGTTTTTTGGCCCAATAGGCCATTCGGGTTAAGTATTTTGGGTTTTAGGGCACCTGACTTTTATTTTGGGGAATACGGTAAATGATATAGTGTAGATGGAACTCGTCACTGTGAGATATTATTTTTAATAGACCACGATGAGTGGTCCTCACGTGAGATTAAATTATTGTAATAAATGGGACTTGTCACCTCGAGATGACGAGTCCATTTAAAAAATATATTTTTTTAAAATAATCAAAAATAATTTAAATTTTAAACATTAAAAAAGAAAAAATTTAGTGAAACTCATCACCTCGAAGTGATGAGTTCTTTCGAATTCAAAAAATATAGACGTTTATACCCATTGGTCAACGAGCAACAACAACGGTCACTTGTACAATGGTCATTATGGGATTCCTCACCTCGAGGTGACATTTTCCTAAGTGATTGTTGTTGTTGCCCATTGACAAATTGCTATATTTTTTTTAAAAATTTGAAGGAGAGGTGACGAGTTCCATTAATTATTTTAAAAATTTAAATTATTTTGATAATTTTTAAAAATATATTTTTTATGGACTTGTCACCTTAAGGTGGCGAGTTAATGCCTCGTGTGGATCCTACTCATCCAGATGTATTAAAAAATAATATCTAAGGTAATTCGTCATCTCGAGATGACGAGTTCCAACTACACTGTAGCATTTTCCGTATTCTACTAAATAAAAATTCAGGTGCCCTATAACCCAAAATATAAGACCCGAATGACCTATTGGGGCAAAAAACTGAGATTCGACTAATAGATTGGATTTAGAATTGTGTAACATATATTAGAGGTCACTAAACTATGCTCAAATGATCATTATGATTATTGAACTTTTAAAATATATAAATTAATTATTAAATTTATCATTATAAATAAGTATAAAAGTTTTGATAAATTGAATGATTAGTTTATATCGATTTAATAAAATTTAATGATTATTTTATAACATTTTGATAAAATTTAATAATTAATTTATAATAATTAGATAAAATTAATAATTAATTTTATAATTATTGTACCCCTCTTGATATTCTCTGGAAGTCGCACTTTCGCTGATCGAAGCTTCTGAAATCTCATATCTTCTGGTTAGTTATAATCTTTTGACATGACTATTGATAGACTCAAGTGGTTTGTTAGAGCTAAATCTACTATATGACAGTCGTATCTATTTTCTTTGTCATAGCCAAATCTGTTATCTAATATTTATATCTATTTTCTCTGTTAACTTACGGATAGTCATCGTGACCTTAGGTCTAACACCAACACTGAGGATCAATATATAAATCACCATACAAGTTTAGAGAAATGATCTCTCTCGCTCTCTCTCTAAGTTTGGAGAAAGGATCAATACATAACTCTCAATGTAAAACATGCTTAAGAAAAACTATTGTATCTTTTACTCTTCTTAAAGTTAATTAACTCATTATAGTGGAAAATCCACATCTGATTTAGGGTAAGTGTTCATCTTAAAAATTCAAATATTTTTAAATTAATTAATTATTTTATTGATTGTGTTCACTTTGAGATTTTATTTGTCTGTATCTCATAAAAAATTTATATCATTAATATATATGTGTTGTGTCTTCCCAAAAAATAATATTTTTGAATTTGCCACTAACCCAACCTCTAATTTATGAATAATATAATTTTCAGAATTGTATCTATTCTTATGTTAAAAATATATAACAACAGAAAATTTTGGCAATTCGAAAAATGGCAAAATTAGTACAATAATTATTGCGCTAAAAATATTTTGAAATATATTGTTGGTTGAAATTTATTTTGAGATTTATGACATTTACTATAATGCTTTAGAACTCGTCACATGAGAGCGACGAGTTTTAATAAAATATAATTTTTATTAAAATTTATCATATCTCTGAAATAAATTATAATAAAAATATATTTTATTGAAACTTATCATGTTAGCTCCAAAATACTATAATCAATAGGATGGGCATGGGACCCAAACCCTCTGGGTTCCGACCTGACTTGACCCTATCGTGTCGGATTATTTTTTAAAAAAATTGAGTTCGGGTCGGGTTGGGTTTTTTAAATGTGATGTTCGGATCGGGTCGAATTTAAATTTAAGGTGAAAAATATCCGACCCGACCTTACCTAAAAATAATAATTTTATCTTATATATTTAGAAATAATTATAATAATACCCCTCTCTCTATATATATTTTTTCAATTAAATCATTGTTTTTATTAAATAAAAATAATATTTTATTTCAGATCGGGTTCAGATTTTTTCTTAAAAGATCGGGTCAGATTCGATTCGAGTGGAGGATATATGTTTTCGGATTGAATAAAGGATGTAAATTTTTTGAGTAGGTCGGAAACGACCCATGCCTATCCCTTATAATAAATATAGATCCAAAACACTTGTAATGTCACCGTCGAACAAAAATCTTCTGCCCCTTTTGTATACCCTTTATATGCCCCCACCAATAAATTAATGCCATGTGTATTAATAAATATTATTTAACTTAATTGTTTCGTTAGTTACTTATATTAATAATTCAAAGCTTTTCTTCGTACTTTGATAAACCGACTTTGGTTGTAGCATAATTAGTTATATCTGCAGCGGCTTGAGTGGCGGCTCCGGCGAAACAAGAAGCTACTATGTTGTCTGCCATGGATACTGCAACAGAAGCAATGAGTTCAAACGTTGATCCAAGATGGAATATTGCTAAGCATTAATCTGCTCTTTCCTCTTTAAAAGCGTAATAATATCGACATTAGGGGTGTAAACGAGCCGAGTCGACCTCGAGTATTGCTGAGCTCGACTCGACTCGAAAACTCTGAAATAGAGTTCGACTATACTCGAAAACTCGCGAGCTTAAGTTTTTTAAGCTCGACTTGAACTCGAAATCCTGAACTGAAGCTCGTGAGCAGCTCGAAAAGACGCGAAATGAAAAAAAAAATCTTAAAATTAACTCGATTGAAGCCTTAAACTCAAACTTGAACCTTAAATACATGAAAATCGTACTGTATTTTAAAAAAATCAATACATAAATGTTAATATTATTAATATTTTTAAAAAATAAAATAAAATCTTAATATATTATATTTTTGAGCTGCTCATGAACTTTTCGAGTTGAATATCAAGTAGCTCGTTTCGGATCGTTAAGAACTCGAGTCGAGCTCGAGCTCGAGCTCGAGCTCAAGTCCATTCGATCCGAGTATTTATCGAGCCTTGATCGAGTCGATCTCGAATAACTCGCGATCTGTCTCGTATCATTTACCTCCCTAATCGACATAATTAAGATGTAGATAACCCTAAACCTATGTTAAGACCAAGTCCTCATCTTTACGACAAAACACCACTTGTCTTTGTCTTCGTGGTCTTTGCTATTTCCGATCTCCAACACAAACACTTCACCATTTGTCCATTGAACCCAAACCCTCGTCCCCCTTATTTCGTGTCTCCACCCAACGTTGTCCAAACCTTGCATGGCCCATGCACTTATAAAACTAAATCCCTTCAATTAGTTCCCAAAAAGCTCTCACCGGCAAACCCTAAAAAAGAAAAATTTAAAAGGTCCAACCACGAAGAAAACCAAGTAAATGCAAGGAAAATGAACCAACAACAACCACATAGGAACCAGGAACAGGCCCATCACCAAGATGCCTTCGTCGTGCAGGGAGATCTTTCCGGGAAGGCTGTGGCACATAAGGACGCCACCGCTGTGATGCAGATGTCGGAGAATTCCGTCGCGGCGGCAAAGAACGAGAGGTCGGGTTTGGTGGGTCATGATGAAACCGGTGTTGAATCTGGTGTTGGTGGTATTAAACTGGCTCCATTTCCTGGGAAAAGTGTTAACGAGTACATTGGTGATGAGGTAAATAATGGGTACTTTTCTCATACCATATGACACTTTTTATAAAATAAATTTATTATAATATAATTTTGATCTTATTCTATTACTGTTGCACGAAACAAAAGATCTCATAGTTAAGGAATTATTGTTATCCCTTAATGTCCCGGATTTAAACATATCGTTTACAGAGATATACGAGCATTCATTGTCAAATTTTGTTATTTTTGCTAACATGCTAAGCTCTTTTCTCAAAGATCGTACGATTAGACAAATGTAATATTTTCAGATTGATGGTAACTACATATGTATGGATCATTTTTTTCTTCTTTACCGCATGATAGGTTGCAACAGGACAATGTGGCCATGGAGATTTATGTTCATCTGATCACGACTCGGCTTCCGAACACGGTGGTGGAATCACCATTGGAGAAGCACTCGAAGCCACCGCACTTACGGCGGGAAAAAAGCCAGTGGAATGGAGTGACGCCGCAGCAATACAGGCGGCGGAAGTTAGAGCCACTGGCCGAACCTCCATAATGCCCGGCGGTATTGCCGCGGCGGCTCAATCAGCTGCCACACTCAATGCTAGGGCAACCAGAGATGAAGACAAGACCAAATTGGGCACCATTCTTGCGGTAATTAAGTATTACTATTAACTTCAAAAATCAGTGGTGGTAAAAAATATTTTAGCCAACTTTTAATTATTGCTTATATCGATTCAATTAAATAAATTTAATCGATTTATTTTCATTAAACTATCAAAATTGATTGAATTAATCAAAATTATTTTTGTTTCCTTAATTTATTATTAATAAATTTCGATTCGATAATTTGATTGATGAACCACTCCTAAATGTAACATGTCATGATTTTTCCAATTGATCCCTTATAGAATGCGACGGCAAGGTTGCCATCGGATAAGCCGGCAACGAGAAAAGATGCGGAAGGGGTAATGGGTGCCGAGATGAGAAACGATCCGAACCTAACCATTCACCCGGCCGGTGTCGCCGCCTCCATTGCTGCCGCTGCAAGGCTCAACCAGAGTCATAAATGAAAGTATAACAACACCAATGACACCATGCATGTCGTATATAATTATGATATTATTATACATGTAATTACAAGAACTCCACTCGACTTTGATCGAGTAGAATCGAGTTTAGTTGAAATTGTTCATTAATTTTGTAATATTTTTTTCTTAAAATATATAAATAAATTGACGTGTGAATTTGAATCATACAGATTATAAATTAGATCGAATAATATATCAAGTAAATGATTCACAGCATCAGGGGCTAGTGCTCGAGCTTCTAAGAACATCTTGCTCGTGATGAATTTATGTTTTTTAAGTGAGCGTCAAAGTGTATGTTCAAAAGATACCAACGTGGCCAAATAATATCAACTCAATCGTGCAAACATGTCACATTAGACTTATGTAATAACGATCTATATCGACTGATTAATCTATTTGTTACAAAATGATAATATTAGTGACCGATTTATTACTTTTTAAATTTCAATACTAAAAGCTAAAATTTACTCATACTTCGGTAATTGTTTATGAAGTTTATCCGAAAAATAGTAGGAGTTAAGTTGTCTATTCAAATAAATATTGAGGGCTACATCTAAAATTTCCCCAGGAAACTTACAGATTAAAGATAGGCTTAATACCAAAATAAGTGCCTAAACTATACATCTTTTTCCAAATAGGTACCTAAACTATTTTTTGACTCATCCCGGTGCCTAACATTACAAACGTTACCCATTTAGGTGCCCAAGCAATCAGCAGTGTTAATTTTCCTGTTAAGTGACACGTGTCACAACCTGATAAATTTAAAATTTTTATTTAAAAATTAAAAATATATATTTTAAAAAAACATAAAACAAATTTTTTTTAAATAAACCAAAAATATTGAAAACCTTTATTTCAACCCCTAAACCCACACCAGTCGCCACCTTTCTGCCGTCGACGAAGCTCCACCCGACCTCCCCTCCCCTCACCCCGCCAACCAAAAGTCCCATGAAATCGTGACCGATCGACGACGAATCAACGTTTTATATCCCGTAAACCTTAAGATTAAAATTGCGATCTCACGCGATTTTGACTGTCAATCGACGAAAACTAAGACGAAGTATGAGTAGGAAAATAGTAAGGACTACGTCAGTCACAGTAATCGTGGCAAAAAAGGAGGGCTACGACAAATTAAAGTTAGGACTTGAGATTTTAAGTTATTTTATAATATAAGAAAAGTTAATATTTTTTATAGATATCATAACATTTTTAATATTTAAAAAAGTAAAAATTAAATTATGAAACATGTTAAAGAGAAAAATTAATATAGTTGACAGTTTATAACCTTATGCGCTTATATGACTCAAAAAGTAATTTAGTTACAATAAAAAGGGTAAAATTTGATCACTTATTTTAATATTAATCCTTAAATATAAGTAGAAAATCAAGATGAGGTTGACGAAACAGAAGCGCCTCCTCACTTTCCCGACCACAAAGACTATCTGTAATTTCATCATCATTCAGATCCTTGATTCCTCTTCCTTTTAATTGCAATCCAAACAAATTTTCCAGTTTCTCACAAGTCACAAATCTCTCGACCCGAAAAAACCCATATCTCTAATGGCGGCAACAACCTTTTTTTTGCTTCGATTCGACCCTTTAAAGCTCAAACAATGTTTTCCCCTCCGTTTACGCCTTTCTTTCCCTCCCCGCTTCTCTAAATTGACCGAAAACATGACTTTTCAAAGCCAAGGCTGCGCTAAGTTTAAAACCAAATGTCTCTTCTCGAAGAGGAAGCATTTAACGAGCTCGAATTTGAACACCGACCATTTCAGTTGTAGCTCAGATGACAAGACCCCATTCGAGATAGTTTCTTCAACGATTTTAAAATCTCTAGAGGCATTGAAAAAGCCTGTTATAGCGGCGGTTTTATTGGGGTTGTTGTTAATGTTTAATCCTTATAAAACAGCATTGGCTGCTTCTGGTGGGAGGATGGGAGGGAGGTCTTTTTCCACTGGTTCTTCGTCTTCGAGGAGTTATTCGGCGCCTAGCGATGGAGGGTCGAGCTTTTCTTCGTACTCCGTTCCTTACTGTTCGCCGGCTCCATTTGGCGGCGGCGGTGGGTTATATGTCGGGTCGGCTGTTGGGGTCGGAGTTGGGGCTGGGTCGGGTCTTTTTCTTATTGTGATGGGGTTTTTCGCTTTTGTTTTGGTTTCCGGGTTTCTTTCGGATTGGTCCGAGAGCGGCGTGCTTGCTGATATTGAAAGAACCAGTGTTCTTAAGCTTCAGGTAAGCTCTTATTCTCTATTGCTTTAACCAGTGAATAGTATCTGCTATGCGTATTAGTTAAGATTATATGATTATATGAAGGTAATTGCTTGAGTGTATGCATGAATATGTGTTCGATAAGGTTATATTCGGTCTTGTTATATGTCTCTGTGTGTGTGTGAGAGAGAGAATCATAGTACTAAATCGCGGTTGCGGACGTTACAGCTTATTTTGTTTCTTAAAACTAACTATGTTTCTAAATTGTGGATGCCATTATGGTGTCACGATGACCTTGAATAATTTTACTATATTATTACACTGTGAATGGGGACATCGGACACAGGTGTTGGATTCAAGTATTTCAAGTAAAATGATGGGTTGGAGAAACATAATATGAAGACCAGTCAATGCCTGTGGTAAATTAGGATTATCAATTGCATAGGTTTGAGGTGAAACACAAATGTATAGAGGAGTGCTGTGCAAATGTGAATTTCGGTTTGCCTTTAGAATCGGCTAATGCTAGTGTGAATTGATTCTTTAATGAAGTTTTAGACTTGATTTTGTTTGCAGTCTCACCTTTATTTGTTTTCATACCCGTTTTTAGGTTGGGTTGTTGGGTTCAGGACGATCTCTTCAAAGGGATCTAAATCGGATTGCAGAAGTTGCTGATACTTCTACCTCTGAGGGTCTAAACTTTGTGTTGACGGGTAAAGCTCTCTAAGATTGGTCCGTATTAATTCTTTTACCTTGGATTGACTGGTAGATGTTTTGCATGTTACACACGTAAAGAATTGCAGCATATTGATGAAAATGCTTTTCCCTATCAACTCTTGTTGCAATCATCTTAACACTAATCCTCCATTATCAATCCCAATGTTACTCAGGGTTGAATGTGATTGTTGGATGCAGTATGTGTTTAAAGATAATATCGTAAGAGGCAATGCATAAACCTTATAGCTCTATAGCACAATTGTGGTTGCTATATGTTGTTCTGAAATCCACTTTAGAATATAAGTGTGTGATATCTAATCACATCGCCGATGTACAATTACAAGTAATAAGAGGCCAGACTTTGTTCCCGCTTAAGTGATTTATTTGGGATGCACATAGATTCCATTCATTATGCTTCCTTTTTTATTTCTATTCTGTTTAATACTTGAAGAATTACAAGGTGGCCACTGGCCTGGTGAATTTAAGTCCAGCTTCTTAAACATGTCATGTTCGTGTTTGTTAGATTGATTGTGTGTACCAAGGAAGTTTTTACATATTTTTTTGTTTTTTGCAGAGACAACACTGGCTTTGCTTCGCCATCCTGATTATTGCATATCGGGATATTCATCTGTAAGTTAGCCTTTACGAAATGTTCCGTTTGTCTCTCTCGCTAAATGAATTATACAGCTCGTGGCTATGCTTCTTCTGACATTTTGAGTCATGGAGAAATTATTAGGCAGTCACATGCTTCGTGGCATATCTAACGTTTTTTGTGCATTCATATAAGAAATAATTTGCAGTTGCAGTGCGACACTCACTGAAATTTGTGTTTGTTCCTAGATCATAGGTGATAGCTAGAAACACTTCAGAACAAACTCTGCTATTGCTGGTGTGTTTGTGTGATTGTTTGTTTTATGAACCTATGTTACTTGGATTCATATCCGAATGTGGGATACGGATATGTCTCGTACATGCGTATGTTCACTTTTCTTTTTCTTGGTTTTCTTATGGATTTCCTATGGAAGGTCCTTGGAAAATCATATCCCCCTACTCATGTCCAAAAATGTGTCGAACACGAGTGTTTCAAGAAACACACAAGTGTCAAAACACGTAGACAGGAACTCTTATCATGAATGGAAGTATTCTGTTTAAGAATTTTCACAACAGTAGGATTTTAGTTTCAATGGATCTTGATTATTGACATTCAGTACTCTTTCCGGATTTATAAAATTGGTATATATCCATGGTTCTCTCTAAGTGGGGAAGAAAGAAAGATGGAGAAAACATGTTTAATGATATAACAATTTGGGATAATTGTTTTGATGGTATATTCTACAGGTGGATGTGAAACGAAGCATAGACGATGGGGAGAAACGCTTCAATCAACTCTCGATCGAAGAACGTGGTAAATTTGATGAGGAGACACTAGTGAATGTGAGCAATATTAGAAGGCAAAGTACAACATATCAGAAAGCCGGTGGATTCAACAATGAGTATATAGTGGTAAGACCTCATTCCTTGTTTTAAAGCTTCGGATTTTAAGTTTTGGATGGAATGGTAACTTTAATTCGATTCGCATCTGATTTCTAAAATTTCAGATAACAATTTTGGTGGCTGCTGAAGGAGTGCATAAATTGCCCCTCATCAATGGAAGTGGTGACTTGAATGTAGCCTTGCAAAAGCTTGCCTCCATCCCGACAAGCAAGTTACTGGTAAGAATCAGCTTATCCCTTGATTGTTATTTGTCAATATTGTTGATATGCTTAGCTCCACCTGAATTTGTGGCCTGAAGTTCGGTTTGAGCTCAATCGGGTTATACTTTTAGAGGAAGCTTTTTCAAGATAAAAACTGATCTGCTTGAGATCATTCAAGTAGGCTCAGTTAAAGATAAGTTTGGTTTTCATGCTCGAGTTACTCGAGTAAAAAACTTCCATTAGGCTCACGAGCTACTCAAGTCGAGCAATAATATACTTGAACTCATCTTATTTGATAGCTCGCGTTAAATTTGACAAAAACGGAGCTGAACATAAGCTTTTTACGAGTTGAGTTCGAGTAACCGACTAGCACGAATGTCTTGTTTACGATCTTAAGTGTCGTCGATATGTCTTTGATTGTAATGCAGGCGGTTGAGGTCTTATGGACGCCCCAGAATGAAAATGACACATTATCAGAGAGGGAATTACTTGAAGACTACCCTCTTTTGAGGCCTTTATAAGTTATATACATATATATATATAACTATGGATAGAGTATTATGGTTACCGTGCTTCTTTGTAAATAATGAAGGCGTATTGTCAATGAGTTCATGGTTATTTTGAAGAGGGCTAAGTTTATGGAGCATAAATGGGTAAAAAGGTACGCGAACCTTTTGTACTTTATTTTTAAAAAAACTAAGGTGACACTCGTACTATTTTCTCTCTCAATGTGACCCTCCAATTCAAAAAATAATTCAATGTAATTATTTGACCAAATTTTCCATCATTGACCAACATTAGGATACTCGAAGTCAACGATAAGTTTATGCAAAAAAAAAAAAACATCTCTATGATTCTTTTCTTTCCCCTCCAACAACTGTCCATGTAATCGGAAACTGATAATTTTCGTCTCTACCAACAATCACAATCAATACTCCCTTTGTAACAGATTTGAGAAGGCATTTACATCAATAAGAATTAATGAAATCGTTGGTCAATGACGGAAAACGTTAGTCAAATAGTCATACTAGGTTTCATTTTTGAGTTGAAAGATCATATTAAGAGAAAAAAAATTGTATGAGGGTCACATTGATTTTTTTTAAGTACAGGAGACTCTTGTACCCTTTTACCATAAATTTTTAAGTTTATATTACTGAATTAATCGTATTTACTCTAAAAGTCTGGGTTGACATGTTTGATCCAATTTGAATTATCCAATTAAGGTTGAAAATTTATGGTTAAATTTTGTTATTAGTCCTTATATTACATGTAAATTTTATATTTAGTCATTGTATTGTAATTGGTCATTTTTTATATATGATATTTTAAAATTTTAAGTTTACAGTTATGATCTGAATAATAGTCACTAAACTTGTTAAGTCAGTCAGTTATATTTTTAAGTTATAGTTTTGATTTGGGTAAATTACACGTGTGATACTTAAACTACGAATTTTAGTTCGTTTTAATATCTAAACTTTTACTTTTTTTCAAAATCATATCTAGGGTCTAGTTTTTGTTTAGTTTTAGTACGTTGTCATTAAAAAACTTAATGGGTGATTTGCACATGGCACCTTTTCTATGGGTAAGTTACATCATTCATCACTCAACTATCTTCTCACTCTTATTTTGTCACAAAAATTTAATTTTTTAATTTAATTACTTAAATTTCAAATTACTCCTAATTTAATCAATTTAACTTTTAACTTTATTTTTTTAACTATATATCAATAAAATAATAAAAAAAATATCATGTCACAAAAATTATTAATAAAATAAATTAGAGTGATTCAAATAGGATCAATTTGAAAGTTGAGTACTTAAATTGAAAATTTTTAGACTTTGATACCAAAATAGGAGTGAGAAGATAGTTGAGGAATGAATGATGTAATTTACCCATAAAAATTATAGTGCCATTAAATTTTTAACGGTGAGTTATTAAAACGAAACAAAAACTAGATGTTATGTATATTTTTTAGAAAAAAAATAAAAGTTTAAGTATTAAAATGGATAAAAATGACAATTTAGGTACTAAATACATAATTTACCCTTTTAATATATATCTTCAATTGGATTGTTTATAGTCATTTTCGTTTGTTTGGGTTAGGATTAAAATCTCAAGAATAATAAATATTATGTATAAGGTTAAAATAAATCAAATTAAAATATAAAAATTAAAATTGATTTGACTCTATAAATAAATATTATGACCTTTAAAATATTTTGGAAATATAATGATAATATGAATTTTTTTATTATAAAAGAACAATGATGGCAAATTATCATCACCAAAAGCACTAAAAAGATGTAATGATAATTTAAATTATAAAAATTTAAATTTTAAAGGACTCAACGTTTAATTATAAATTAATTAAAAATTTAAAGATAAATTATTTAAAATTATGGGTAAACTTATCCATGACCACCTAACTATTATCCCTTTTCATTTTGACTAATATTTTTGAAATTTTATCAATCAGATCATTCAACTATTTAGTTGCATTCAATTAAGCCATTTGCCGTTAATATTTAACGGCGAAGCTGACGTGGCGGTTAAAATATTTATTATAATTACACATTCGATCACTGTTATTTCGGAACCTGAGCCCGAATTTGAATTCTTTGTTGCCGTGGTTGTTGGTGGCGAAATGATGCTTCTCGTCGGTGATGCTATCAAAGAAGCATATTCCAGAACTCGAGCTAAAAAGCCTAGGAGAAGCCAAGGTCTTGCTTTGAGAAGAGAGCATGTGTTTGGCAAAAGTGTACACTACAAAAGTCAGGTTCGGCGACAAAGTGAGGGAGATTTTGAACGATTGTCAGGTAAACGATGATACGAAGCTTGAAAAATGATCAAAAGACGTTATCGATTTTGTTATTATTTAAATAATAAAGTCGGTAAAAAATTATCGAAAACATTATTTTTTCTACCGATTTTGTTATTTTTTCTATCGGTTTTGTTATTGTTGGGTACTTTACCAGAAATATTAAAAAACATTGATGTTTTAGGTAGAAATAATAATATTTTAGGTAATTTTTTTACCCGTTTTATTATTTAAATAATAATAAAACCGATAACGTATTTTTTAATTAATATATTAAGGGTGCCACACTGTTAAAGCTTTGTTTCAACGTCCATGGCAAAAGGGTGCTGCAAATTAAGCGGCTTAATTGGAAATTTAGAGGCAGTGAGAGGCTCGAAGTTGATCGGGTCCTTATACATGTCTCGTTGGACGTTTATAATTGGTTGTTCAATAAATTAAGTTTGTTTAATTTATTAAAATTAGGACCAAATTGATAGAATATAAAAGTATCAGTGACCAAATGTTTGATTATACCAAATCTTTTAACTATCACATCAATTTCTTCGTTAAATATTAACGACAAATGGTTTAATTGAAGACATTTAAATAGTCGAATGATCTGATTGAAATTTTAAAAATATTGGTCAAAGTGAAATGGGACAATAGTTATGTGGTCACTAATATAATTTATCTATTATTTTAAATGATTTATCTTTAAATTTTTAACTAATTTATAATTGAGTCATTTAGAATTTAAATTTTTATAAATTTAATTAATGGTGCTCGTTATTAGTAGTGTTCATCAATGCTCGTCGAACGTCGTAGATTTTTCCTTTACAATATTGTGCTATATTAGAAAAAGTTAAATAATTATTTTAATCTAATAAAAAAATATAATTCTAAACTATATACAAGTACCTTACGAATTTTTCGTTTAAAAACATTATGACATCGGTTGCATGGGTAGTTGTTGAAGGAGAAGAAAAATAATTTTCGAGATGATTTTTGAAGAAATTTATAGTTGATTTAGAGATCCTAATGACGAATGACTTATAATAATATTAGTTAATGATGAAAAACATTAGTTAAAGGTCACATTAATTTTTTTTTCAAATTAAAAGATCACATTGAGAAAAATAATACAAAATACTACGGAGGTTACACTTAAAAAATAATGATATAATTATCTAAATTTGTTATATTTTTTTGAATTTAAATTAAATATTTTTAAAACTTATAAAATAAACGTGAACAAAAGAAAATTAGACCCAACTCGATCCGGTTGATCCGACGGTCTGTATCGCACTCCAACTAACCAATGGACAGCAGCACGTGAATCCCACGTTTTTATTCTCCTTAATTTTTTAATTTTTAAAATAATAATTAAAATAATCTTAATCCCACACCTCCATCTCCTCACCCGCCATAATTACGCGTGAACTACACTTCCTTTTTTTATTCCTTAAAAAATTCTCCACTTTCCTTTTCAATTTGATATTTACCATAATCATCAATGAAATATCTTTTAGTAATAAATAAATTAATAATTATGAGAAAAAGGAAAGAAAATGAAAAGTTATAATAACCCCACCGACATAATTAAAAAAAATTAACATTTAATCACTCAAGTTGCATTTTTAAATTTTAATAAACTAATATAATATCTCTAAAAAATAAATTAATAACACAATTATAAAATAACGATAAACTATTGGTTAATATAATGAATTGTTTTTCTATATATAATTTTTTTATTCAAACTAAATTATTACATAATATTATAATTTCCAATGTTCAATCAAACCTGGAAAAAGAAAAGGACTAAAATAAAATTTAGCCTTAAAATTAATAAATTTTAAATTTAATTCTTAATTTTGGGGTTTCCCTTGTATTATGATATGATACAATATTCAAGGATGAATTGATGGGACATGTCGAGCCAGTAGTTTTCTCTCTGAAAATTTAAAATTATTATATATTTTAGATTTTTTATGTATTTTTTATTAAAAATATATTTTCGTCTCCTAAAATTTTATAAATTTAAGTTCGTTTCCCTTAAGTTCAAGTTCGCCAAACGTAAAATCTTGCGTCTCCCATTGATAACATCAAAGTGACACATCATTAAAAATATATAAATTTAAATTTAAATTTAAATAATTATGTTAATAAAATATTTAATTTTATCATAAAATTTTATATTATAATTTTAATATTTAAAATTTTATTTAAAATTAATTTTATCTTTAACTTATAATCTTTATTTTAAATTAATTCTTAATTCTTTATAGGGGTGTAAACGAGCCGAGTCGAGCTCGAGTAGTTATGAGCTCGACTCGAAAACTCGCGACCTTAAAATTTTCAAGCTCGACTCGAACTCGAAATCCTGAACTAAAGCTCGTGACTCGAAAAGGCTCGAGAAATGAAGAATTTTTTTTCTTAAACTTAACTCTATTGAAGCCTCAAACTCGAACCAAAACCTTAAATACATGAAAATCTTACTGTATTTAAAAAAATCAATACATAAATGTTAATATTATTAATAATTTATTTTTTTAAAAATAAAATCTTAATATATTATGTTTTCGAGCTGCTCACGAGCTTTTCGAGTCGAATATCAAGTAGCTCATTTCGGCTCGTTAAAAACTCGAGTCGAGCTTGAGCTCGAGTCAATTCCATTCGATCTGAGTATTTATCGAGCCTTGATCGAGTCGATCTCGAGTAGCTCGCGATTTGTCTCGTCTCATTTACATCCCTAATTCTTTAAATGTTTTAATTCCATCTTTAATTAAAAGTCTCATTTTAAATTGATCTCTAAACTTTTGGATCTTTAAATTCATCAACAAATTCATCGAAATATTAATTAGTTGCAATTATCGTTTAACCTATTTTTTCAAACATATAATAATAATATATCTTGGCCAAACTATTTTATTAGTATGAGATTGTAATTAGCATATATCTATAGTTTGATATGAAATCGAAATATTCAACAGTTGGAGATTAATTTAGAATGAAAGTCACAATTTGAGAATGAAATTAAAATATTTAAAAGTTTAAGAATTAAATTAAAATAAAGATCATAGTTTAATGATCTATGATGTAATTAACTCATAAAAATTACTAAAATTAAAAACTAAAAATTACCCAAAATCCGATAATTTTGTTAGCACATATTTTGGCTTTCAGTAGAGCATGTGAGCATGTCAGCCAAAGGAAAGTTAGGAAGAAAGAGAGTGGCTAAGCCTCTAAGAGAGATTCTTTTTCAAATTTCATTTTGGCTTTACTTTCCTTTGTCATTGAATGGCAATCCTCAAAGTCCAGCATTTTCCAGCAATATCCATTTTCTAAAATCCTTCAAATTTCCATTTTGTTTCTCTCTCAATAATATTTTTTTTCAAGTTGTCATTGTCTGGAGGTAAAGTTTTGGTATTTTTTCCCCAAAAGAATTTGTAATGTACATTTGTATGATTGACAATGATAACAGTATATAGCAGAGGAATTTACAGTGAAATGAACCCTGCTTTTTTGTCTACTTATTTTCTTGTTGAAGCTTCAAACATTTCCCATTGATGGGTATTTGAGTTTCTTGCAGAAAAAAGTAAAGAAAATGCACCACCCCAGATCAAAATCAAGCCTTTTTTAATACAGTTTTTGAAACATATCAGTTTAAGTTGTTTTTGTGTTGTTTTTTTTAATGTTTCAGAGTCTCAGTTTTTAGTTGTCTGGGTTTGTTTTTAGGTTGCAGAACAGATAATTTTGTAGAAAAATGAGGGATTTTCCATCATGTTTTGGTAAAAATGGTGTTCAAGTGGCTGATTCATCATCATCATCATCGTCATCATCAAATGCTTGTAAAAATGCACATTATTTAGTTACCTGTGTTTATCAATGTCGAATTCGAGGTAGATCTTGTTCGATAACTGTTACTTGGAGCAAGAGTTTAATGGGGCAAGGCTTGAGTGTTGGTGTTGATGATTCATCTGCAAATCAGTGCCTTTGTAAAGTTGATATAAAGCCTTGGTTGTTCTCTAATAGAAAAGGTTCCAAGAGGTTAGAGGTGAATTCGTGTGAAATCGATGTATATTGGGACCTTTCGACGGCGAAATTCGGTTCCGGACTGGAACCGGCGGAAGGGTTTTATGTCGGTGTTGTTGTCGACTAAGAAGCACGAGGACGATAAAGGAGACCCGTTTCAAGTACCCGATACGTTTCGGGTACGGGGACGGCTGAGGGACCCGGGGACGTGCCACGGTGGCAGGGTACGGCTGACCGAAATGGGGGACGGTCAAAGCTTATCCGGGATGTTTCGGGGACGTACCCAAAGGTAATTTTGGCTGAGGAGACAACCTCCGAGGACGAAGAAGTGGGATCTTCAGCCGAGGAAGAAGAAGAGGATGAAGAACCCCAAACCCAGTCTACTCCATTGATCCAAAAGAGCCCACCTCCCAGGAAGCTTGATCCTGCGATAGCCGTCGCGGGGAATGAAGAATCTGAGGAATCCGGGACTGAGTCGGAATCCGAATCCGACACGGCTACGCCGAATGTCAAGCCTCTTGCGACGAAACCCATGGAAGACATGAACGCGAAGAAACCCATATCCGAGACTGTTGAAAGGTATGTTGGATTACTCTGCTAAAAAAGAGGCTGATCCTTGTGTTGATATGAATGCATTTTATGATTTTGTTAAGAAATCGATTCATACTGAATTACTGATGTTATGAAAGCACAGTTGATGGATAAGATTAGAAGGTTAAAGAAAAAGTTTGAGAACAATGCCGGGAAAGGTAAAAAGGGTGAGGATCGAAGTTTCTCTAAAGCCCATGAACATAATGCATTTGAACTGTCGAAAAAGATATGGGGAAAAGAGGGGATTAGTGGGAAAGTTAAGTCTTCAGCTGCTAAATCCAATGGGAAAGCCAAGGCAAATAACAAGGCAGTGGTTGCATTGAAAGTAGAGTTTCATTCTTCACCTGATAAGAAAGTAGATATTGGGGTGCCAATGGAGGTCGATAAGGTGCCTAAGAGTTCGGTTAGTAATTTATTTGATAAGAGGAACTTCTAAAGCATAGTTTAGATATGGTTGACAGTGAAAGGAAGGCAACTTTAGAGGCGAGATGGAGGAAATTGCAAATTGCCGAATTGGAACTGTTTATTGAGCAAAATGAATTGGTCAAGGAGCATGCCAAGTTGATATTTTTATTTGACTTTATTTATAATTTTAAAATTATTTTATATACCGTACCCTTGCCGTCCCCGTATCATGTAATTTTAAAAATTACCGTTTTCCATCCCCGTCCCCGTATCCGTGCAACATAGGTTGCCGATATGCAAATGGTATTGCTTCTTGGAGATACGAGGAAAGAAGCTTACAAGAAGACTAGTGCGAGTCCTTCTCCTTCCGACGCCCTTTTCGTGGCCAAAAAGGAACATGTTTTCGGCAAGAGGGTGTTCGGTACCAAGGCGCGGTTGTGCAATAACGGTCGAATTCATGATCTGAAATCGAAATATAATAATATATCTTGGCCAAACTATTTTATTAGTATGAGATTGTAATTAGCATATATCTATTGTTTGATATGAAATCAAAATATTCAACAGTTGGAGATTAATTTAGAATGAAAGTTACAATTTGAGAATGAAATTAAAATATTTAAAAGTTCAAGAATTAAATTAAAATAAAGATCATAATTTAATTATCTATGATGTAATTAACCCATAAAAATTACTAAAATTAAAAACTAAAAATTTCCCAAAATCTGATAAATTTGTTAGCACATAGCATGTCAGCCAAAGGAAAGTTAGGAAGAAAGAGAGTGGCTAAGCCTATAAGATAGATTCTTTTTCAAATTTCATTTTTGCTTTACTTTCCTTTGTCATTGAATGGCAATCCTCAAAGTCCAGCCTTTTCCAGCAATATCCATTTTCTAAAATCCTTCAAATTTCCATTTTGTTTCTCTCTCAATAATATTTTTTTTTCAAGTTGTCATTGTCTGGAGATAAAGTTTTGGTATTTTTTCCCCAAAAGAATTTGTAATGTACATTTGTATGATTGACAATGATAACAGTATATAGCAGAGGAATTTACAGTGAAATGAACCCTGCTTTTTTGTCTACTTATTTTCTTGTTGAAGCTTCAAACATTTCCCATTGATGGGTATTTGAGTTTCTTGCAGAAAAAAGTAAAGAAAATGCACCACCCCAGATCAAAATCAAGCCTTTTTTAATACAGTTTTTGAAACAGATCAGTTTAAGGTAAGAGATTTGTTTAGGTTGATTTTGTGTTGTTTTTTTTAAATGTTTCAGAGTCAGTTTTTAGTTGTCTGGGTTTGTTTTTAGGTTTGAGAACAGATAATTTTGTAGAAAAATGAGGGATTTTCCATCATGTTTTGGTGAAAATGGTGTTCAAGTGGCTGATTCATCATCATCATCATCAAATGCTTGTAAAAATGCACATAATTTAGTTACCTGTGTTTATCAATGTCGAATTCGAGGTAGATCTTGTTCGATAACTGTTACTTGGAGCAAGAGTTTAATGGGGCAAGGCTTGAGTGTTGGTGTTGATGATTCATCTGCAAATCAGTGCCTTTGTAAAGTTGATATAAAGCTTTGGTTGTTCTCTAAGAGAAGAGGGTCCAAGAGGTTAGAGGCGAATTCGTGTAAAATCAATGTATATTGGGACCTTTCGACGGCGAAATTCGGTTCTGGACCGGAACCGGCGGAAGGGTTTTATGTCGGTGTTGTTGCCGATATGCAAATGGTATTGCTTCTTGGAGATATGAGGAAAGAAGCTTACAAGAAGACTAGTGCGAGTCCTTCTCCTTCCGACGCCCTTTTCGTGGCCAAAAAGGAACATGTTTTCGGCAAGAGGGTGTTCGGTACCAAGGCGCGGTTGTGCAATAACGGTCGAATTCATGATCTGATGATTGAATGCGACATGATCGGATTCAATGATCCGTGCCTTATGATTCGCGTGGATGGAAAGACTTTGATGCAAGTGAAGCGGCTACGGTGGAAGTTCCGGGAGAACTGTACCATTTCGGTTGATGGAATGGCTGTAGATGTTTACTGGGATATCCACAATTGGCTCTTTGAAACATCTGTCGGAAATGCTGTTTTTATGTTCAAGGCATTGCCCGCCATGGATGATAAGTTGTGGATCAGCCAACCGAACCCTAATCCGAGCACGTTGCAACGGTCTTTCTCGCAGCTGTTTCAAGAATCCAAGTCACGAAATATCGGCTTTTCACTGGTTTTGTATGCTTGCAAGAATGAGTAGGACAGAAAGTGCTAACGAAAAAACTGATATCGAGTGGTGATGTTTATCTACTCTATTCATCAATCACAGTTTATTCGAGTGAAAACGGATACATTCGGTTTTCTTTTTTCGTTCTTAGTCGGCTGTATATTATCGATACATTAGTTTGATTCTCAATGCTTGTTATACAAATTGAATTTCTTCAATGGACATGGATAGTTGTTGAAATCTTCTTCCAGCTGCAGTTTGAGTCGGTTTTGCAGGTGACGAATCATCAACTAGCCGAGTTCGAATCTCCTCGAAGCGTTAACGGTATGTTCTTAGCTGCAAGTATGCCCTAGCTAAAGTCAACATATGGATTACTCTGCTTTGCGATTTCGGAGCAGCTTTAGCAGTTGTTGTCGCCGGTTTTGCTCGGTCTTTTGCCTTGCTAGCGCCGAAGCTGCCCTTTCCTATGACCTGACCCTTACGTTTCACCTCATTTGCCGTTGTCGATTGTTCCGTAGGGGTATTGAAGCTGTGGCGATGAGTCCGGCAGTATGTTTTTGCCTTTCCGTCTAGAGACGAGTGTACCGCATCGCTGCAACTCTTTCTCCGACTAAGATTTGGCAACTTCGGTCGAGTTGATGGCAACTGAAAGGAAATAAAAAAGCAAGAATGAAATGTTCCATTACCAACCAAACAGTTTTCTTGAAAGGGTATACACGGGATATGTGTTTGCTCATTCGGTTTTTTGGTATCGAGAGTTCATATGCCTCAACAGAAGGCTTTCTTAAATCGATAACGGTGTGTCTGCATTCCGGTTTTCATCTGTTCTATGTTGTTAAACATAAACAAGAAGAAAAGGCTCAGATACCTTCTTCGCTTCCGCTGTAGATGGAGGTTGTTTTTAGTAGAAAATCGGTATCGGATTCGCTTTGACGATCATACTCTTTCTATGCTGCTTAAGGGCTGCTTCTTGCTCTTCCTGTAAGAAAGCAAAGAGTTCCACTTTGGTTAATTATCATAATGTACATAGATGCCACGGATGTAGCTCTCTGCACGGTCCGATTCGAACACGAATTTTACGGAAGAGATAATCGAGAACGCCAAGAAGGTTGGCCCTGGCTCGGGCTGGCTTCCCTCGGCCCCCAAAGCTCGATTATTTTCCTCTAACTTCACAATACCATTCTGGATGATCGAGTTCTCTTCGGTGCATTCCGCAACCTCATAATTCTTTGACTCGATGCCTTCCGGGACTCTCGGATTACCATTCAATTTCTCAACACAGTCGGGAATGTCAGCCATGTGCACATCAGTGAGTTGCCTCCCCCATCAAACTGCATTCGAAATAAGTCGAGCATCGGAATGTGATGACGGCGGAAACGTTTTAGCTCGGAAACGGATGCATGTGATTTCGATTCTCCGAAACAAGAACCAACCTGAGAATGATAAGTACTAGTAAGTACTACGAGATTCAAAGTGCAAAGATAACCAACACATTTCTTCTTGTTATCTGATCCGAGATTGAACGACGATTACTTCTCAATCCATAAGCCAAGAGAGAGATGGGAATCTCTAGTTAAACTACATTTCTTGGTAAACATTCTCAGGAAACAAACATAACATAGGAAACAAAACAGTATATATATATATATATATATATATATATATATATGTTATAAATTTGGATTAGGGGCATATTTGTCTAATTCGAGTAGAGAATTTCTTATGATCGTAAACAAACGAAAGGATTCTCGGAATCTAAACATTTTCAGTTCCCAGAATACCCCCAAAAGAAAGAAAAAAACAAAGGGTAAAGTACAAAAATAATACTTCGACTATGGGATATTACTTTATTAAGTCATTTAACCGTTAAAAGTTACAAAATGATCCTCTTACTATAGAGTGATGCTTTGTTCTCTCTACTGTTAAAAGTTATAAAATGATCATTCGAAAATTCATTATGTTTCAAACTCGTCTTTTTAATTAAAAGTTGACGGTATTCTAAGCTGAACGTTAATATGTTGATTGCGATATTGTAAAATATGATATTAGAATCTTAAACGACTATCATATCTTAGTTATCATGTTAACGTTTAGCTTAGACATCTACTAATTTTCAATGGAAAGGGATGATTTTGGAATATAATGAATAATCGAGTGACAATTTTGTAACTTTTAATAGTCGCAGGACTTAATAAAGCAACATTTTATACTTGGAGAATTATTTTATAACTTTTAATAGTTGAAGGATTTAATAAAGAAGTACCCTATAGTCAAGGGAGCATTTTTGTACTTTACCCAAAAACAAAATATCCATTAACAAGTACACTGAAAAGTCAATCAACTCAACTCCCCAAAAGCTAAATCCAACGGTGCAGATTCAAGTGTCCAAAATTAAAAATCTCTAAAAAAATATCCCAGAATTATCACAATAAAAAATTATTTTTTTAAAAAAAATCTGCAACACCTCAAAAATGGAACTGAATGAAACCCAACAACACTACTTCACTAGCAACAACTCCAACACCGTCACCGCCACTCCGCCACCGACCAATGGGCTTCTGCTTCCTAACAAACGGGGAGGAGGGTCCCACCACATGGTGTACCCTCACTCCGTGCCGCCGGCGGTGACATCGGCGTTGGAGCCGGCGAGGAGGAAGAGAGGGAGGCCGAGGAAGTACGGAACGCCGGAACAGGCCTTGGCTGCTAAGAAGATGGCGTCGTTGAGCTCCAAGGTGCGGAGAGAACTGCAGCAGCAGCAGCGGCAACAGTTGGGTCTCGGTGGTGGGTCTTTGAATAAGTCTCAGTTGGCTGCATTAGGTGGGTGTTTTAGATTAAAAAATATTACTTTTGGGTACCCTTTTATGTGAATTTGATGGCTTTTGGTGGGGTTTTGTTGCAAATTTGTTAGATAAGGTTTCTGGTGCATTGCTCTGTGGGGGTATTTTTGCAAAAGTGAGTCTACTTCTGATGCCCCTTTTTAAAAGAATTTAAATGACTTTTGTTGCAAAGTGTTGGAATTGATAGGGTTTTGATGAATTGCTTGTGAAAATGTTGCCTTTGTTTGCTCTGATAGGATATCTTCCCCACACACACAAAAAAAGGGTTCTTCCTTTTTTTGGCACCTGGTCTTGAATGTTAACTTTTTCTAGGGGCCTTGTTGCAAATTTCTTGAAATTAAGGCTGTTTTAGTTCATGAGCGTGAACCATCACATTTGTTTGCTCCATGTGTTTTCTTTTCCTATTATAGTCTCCTCTTTTGGCATCTTTTTGTGAATTTTAAGGTGCTTGGGGAGCTTGTTGCAATTTTTTTTTAAAACTGAGAAGGTTTTAAATGCTTGTTATTATGGTTCATTGTCTTTATTTGGTTGTTTTTAAATGACCCCCTTCCCCTCTTACAGTTTTGCAATGGTTGGTAGTATAGCTTGTAATTTGATGAAACTTTCAGTTTACGATTCACCGTTAGATCTTCGATGGATGTGTAGTATTTTGCATAAACGATTTTGTAAAATCTTTGGAGGGAAAATGATATAACTCTAATCCGTTTGATCATCATCGTGGCATTATATTAATGTCTTAGTTCATTCTAGTATTCCTCAACTTGCATGGTTGCATTGATTCATCGTCAAAGTCATCTTGTTTACTTTCAGCTCGAATACAACGCATTCACGTGCTTATATTTAGTACAATGTTAAAATAAGTACAAATAGATGGATATATTTAGTTTCATCTGTTTATTATTGTTTGTTTGATACATAATATCATGTATATAAATGATCTATCTCTTTCATAGTCGTTTTCATGTTTGATGGGGGTTGTATGATGTTTGGTTCTGAAGTAAGTTGAGTCATCGTTTGATTTTATATGGCTTGAAGTCGCAGTTTGATACTTAAAAGTCTCGGTCTTTCTACCCTTTAATTGACGCAGGCAATGCAGGTCAAGGTTTTACTCCACATGTTGTCGATGTAGTTTATGGAGAGGTATGGCATTCATTACTTACCGAAACTTTTGTTAGTAATTTGAATATATGTTGGCATTAGTTATACATATCCACGGGGTATAGATATCGATGCATACCGGTTTCCTTGTAATTTTGTAATCTGTTAAAATGTAACTTCTTCATTGTCGATTTCCTTAAAAAATTGGCATGGTTCGACTTCTAAGCATGTTTCGGTTAAATATGATGTCGTATTGTGATATTTCTGGATGATAATATGGTTTGAAGTCAGAATAGCAGTGCTGTAGTAGCCGATAAACAATGGCATGAGAGTCCTTTTTTAACGTTGATATTTACGAATTTGTTTCTATATGTTAATTGAATTGTTTCTTCGCCTTCTTGACATGATATATTGATCCAAATAGGATGTGGGCCAAAAAGTACTGATGTTCATGCAACAAAGCAAGCGCGAAGTATGCATTTTGTCCGCATCTGGTACAATCTCGAGTGCATCTCTTCGCCAACCAGCAACATCCGGCGGTAACATTGCATATGAGGTAAGTGCTTCTTTTTATCGTTTTATTGTAATTATTTTATATCGAACAAGATAGTTCCATGTTTATGATGCAGTTGCCATGCTCAAATTTCTAAAAAGTCTCGTATGCTTGCCATGATATTAGCTTTTTTATTTTTATCGTTTCGGTTAATTCGCAACGTATCTGCTTAAAATATGCTTACTTTGTACTGTCAAAATATGATTTGTTTTCTCGGTGATATGATATTAGGGTCGGTTTGAGATCATTTCATTATCAGGATCTTATGTTCGGAATGAAATAGGAGGGAGGACTGGTGGGCTCAGTGTATGTCTATCAAGTGCAGGTGGCCAGATTATTGGTGGCGGAGTTGGTGGACCTCTAAAGGCCGCCGGCCCGGTTCAGGTATTTGTATTAGTATTTGATTTGGGGAAGGGGATTGGTACGAATGTCGGGAGAACTTGTATCTATCATCAAGCCAAATGCTGAATTTATTACGTACAGGTTATTGTCGGTACATTTACGATAGACAACAATAAGGATGTTAGTACCGGGGCAAAAGGTGATGCCTCCGGCAGCAAGTTGCCAGCTACGGTTGCAGGGACTTCAACATCTAATGCTGCCTTTCGCCCGTCTTTCGAAACTTCAGGAAGAAACCCGATTGCGGGGAATGACGATCACCAAAGTTTCGGAGGAAGTCATTTTGTGATG